CAAACAAACGCTGGGAAACCAGTAAATAAAAACTGGAAAGAGTTTCGAGACACGAAATTAGAGATAAAAGTTGATCCTGATAATAATTTAGAGGTTATAACCACTATAGACCCTAATTCGTTACTAAACTTAGATAATATCTATTCATGCTCACAGACAGTAAAGATTGAGAGAATCAAGAATGAAGCTGACCAAGATAACACAATGGATGATGAAGGTTTTAATACTTCCGATAGCGATTTACCACTCTGTAGTAGCGTGAAAAAGAAGAAAATGAAGAAAAAACAAAAAATAAAATATGATTCAGAAATATCTACTGAGGATTTGCTAAAAAACGAAACGGAAGCAATACCAATAGATATATCAACGTTAACAACTACTTGGGATGAATATTCGTGTCGTTGTGCAAAGTGCGATGCATTGTTTAAAAATGTAACATCACTACGATTGCATTCTGTCCAAATTCATTCTTCGTGCTCAGTATTTAAATGTGCAGAATGTGGTAAAGTATTTGCCAATTACAAATCATTTATAAACCATGCTCGTAAACATAAAAAATGTCTCCGATATTGCTGCGAATACTGCAACAAACAATTTGCTTATATAAAAAAACATATAAATTCAAGTCACGGTGATATTTGCCTAAATACCTGCCAAAACTGTGGAGCAATGTTCGAAAATGAAGAACTGCTACAAGACCATCTAATTTTCTATGGTAAACGTTACAAAAAGACTCGACAAAGATCAAAAGAATACGATTTAAAATGTCAAGACTGCAATAAAGAGTTTAAATCACGTAGTAACCTGCAACAGCATCGTTTAGTGCACACAGAACGTAGCCGGGAGTTCTCCTGCCATGTCTGTGGCAAAATGTTTTTCACAAAAGGAACATTAGGCACACACATGAACACTCACGAAGACATGAAGCCGTTCAAATGCGAATTCTGTCCCATGGCGTTCCGTGCTCGTGGAAACCTACAATCTCATATTAGTCTGCACTCCGGCGCTAAACCGTTTGTATGTGAACAATGTGGTAAATCATTCCGCGTTAAGCGTCATCTGAAATCTCATTCTATAGTTCACACGGACTTAATGCCATATATATGTGAGTACTGTAATAAACCTTTCCGTTTCAAAACAAGACTTAATCTGCATTTAAGACAGCATACAGGAGCGAAGCCGTATACATGTGTATATTGCCATAGAGATTTCACAAATGGATCCAATTACAAGAAGCACATGAAAAGAAGACATAACATTGATACGTCCAGAAAGAGGTATAATGTTATCCACAATCAGAATATTGAGGGTGAGATTAGTTCTGTACAGAGTTAGGTTTAATATTTTAAATCAGGGTTCGAATTGATAATTATCATTGATAATGATCATGATAAATATAAAATTAATTGGAACAAGATGCCACTGCTAGCCAATGTACGGTACGTGTTTGTATCTGAGACGTATCTATCCAAATGTGTCAAATGTCAATCTCGAAAAGTCTTTGTCCCAAAGATTCTGCTTTGTGTTTATTTAAAATTAAAGAGACAAAACAATCAGCAAGGATAATTACTGAATATATGTATATCAGATTACTATCAAAGAAAATAAACACCTTGATAATTTCTAACCCTGTTTTATATACACCGGAATACAAAAACTACGTACTCAGGCATTTCAAACTTTAAACCCATATTAATAAATGAATCTCTAGCACAAAATCAAATGAATCTTAATTAGTGGGTGCACATTAATTCTAGGATCGGCAAGTCAGTCAAACATCAACTTGATTCATTTAAATCATAGGTTCACAAAACTTGTTGGCTCACCACCCACTTATAAAATAAATAAAATAAAATTTAGCCTTTATTCACTGATTACTTCTAAATTAATTCTAAGTTTAACCTAATGCTTACTTCTAACAGTAATAATTCTTAATTCTAACATCAGCATCGGTTCTGGTTCTAATCAGGTTGTCCTCTGACATGGGCCTCCTCCGCATTTCTCCATAAGCAACGGTCTTGTGCCGACCGGCGCCATTTTCGGGACAAATCGTCTTCCCACCGTTTTGTTCGCCTTCCTCTATACCTCTTTCCATCTCTTGGATACCAATGTATCACATGTTTGACCACTTTTCTTTTGTTGATCTTACCGTGTCTTTTGATTTTCGTTGTGACATATGTCACCTTGGTTGCCTTCCTAATTCTGGAGAGTCTCCATTGATCTCTCTAGCGTTTGGCTGACAGACTTAGTCACCACCCACTTAGAGAAAATAAAAAAATTTCAACACACACCGCAATAAAAAATAATTGTAAACATGTATTTTTTATATTAACTTAACACAAAAATCACAAGGAAAAATATATACTCGTATATGTAGTATAGTTTATACAGATAATTCAGATTTTTTTACAAATGTAGTGGCACCCCTGCTGGACAGCATCAACGCCCCCAATAACTTCCGAGGCCCTATCGCTCTTCAACCTACTAAGGGGTTATAATAATAATAATATATTGTTATAATAATATGGTTGTAAGGACCACTTAGGGGAAACTATGATTTAAATCAGAGGTTCCTAGACTTTTTTTTTCTCATAGACCACTTTCAAAATTTAGCTGTTTCTGGTGGACCCCCTGCAGGTACATTTCTACCATATTCCCAAAACTCGACAAAAATGTGAAGATTAGATCTAACTATAGAAATTTGCAACGCAAATTGCTGAGTACCAACCACAAATTAATAGTTTTCGAAAAAAAAGTGAGAATTTAATTAATTGTGCTGTGAGTGGATGTCAAAAAAGTAAAGACCCATTGTACTGAATATGGAATATGCAAGTTTTTACAAGTAACAGTCGCTGAGCTGCTTAAAATATTATCTGCCTTCATTGTCAAGCCAACATTTTAGTTCTTCACTATCGAAAGCAGATAAATTTTCGTGGACGAAAAAAAATGGGGGTTCACAATTTTTTGTCACGCCAACGTAGACCCTCGTCGAGTCTCCCGTGAACCCCTGTGGGTCCACCTGGACCACTTTGTGAACTAAGGATTTAAATCAATACGTGGCCCAATAAATGCATATAAGTGAAAGTCAATTTATTTCTATTTCAATTTAATAACCAAAACAACAAGCTTTGTTTGTTGGTATATTAAAAAGCATATATTTAACTTTTTAACCGACTTCAAAAAACTCAATTCGACTGTATGTTTTTGTGTGTGTATTTTACGCAATAACTCTTGTGAACCGATTTTGATGATTCTTTTTTTTTTTTTTTTTTTTCAAATAGTGTACCTCAGTCATTGGTCCCATTTAAATTTAAAGAAAATATTCCAGCTCTAAGGGAGGCAAACTAGGTGATGAATCTTCGCGCACTTTCCGGTAACCGAATGGTAGAACTTGGTGTAACTCCACGAACTTTGAGATCGTTTTTTTATATAAAATAGTAATGCATCATTTGACCGTTGTTAAAATTCTCGCTTATTAACAAACAACACTCAGCCAGTAAGCTACGACTATAGACTTTCAGCTACGACTCTATAAGCTCCAATTAATCAAGGGTTTATTATTAACCAACTTCAAAAATGAAAGAGTCGATTCAACCGATTTTTTTTGTATATTAGGCGATTACTTTGACGTTCGTGGTCTGATTTTGATGATTATTTTTTGTTGGAAAGGATGTACCTCAGCATTTCTTTGCAAGTCTTTCTCTACGTACTACCACTACAATCCATGTATGGAGTAAGGCCCATACAGACTTTTTGACACAATTTTGTATCGGAAACTTTTATTTTTTTATGACACTAAGTCATGGAATGAACAAGTAGTACACCTGGTTTAAGACACTCAAGAGGTATACAGCGCAAACAACTGAGGGTCACTGCCACTACGCACGTTATACTGAGATATAATTTAACAAGTCCCGTGTGCTGGTACATATTTTATATTTACATGTGTTACATATAAAGCTGCAGAGCCTTGAACACCGCTGTAAAATTGCCTGCGTACTGTAACTGAGGCGTAGCTTGGGATGCGTAGCGAGAGGTACTTTTATGAATATAAACTGGAATAATCTTCAAAATTTACTTTATTGCACTTTTTTACATACTTTCTTTCTTTCTTTCTTTTCAGTGTTGGGTTATATTTCGTTATATCAAGATGCTCTATACTTTTCTTACTTCATTTTTCAAAACACATTCTAATTACAAAACTATTCATTCAGCCAGTGATTCTACTCATAGAGTAGAGCCTAGACTACAGTACCTATCGGTATTTTACAGGATATATCACGGAGAGATGCGATGGAATTACACGATTTAATTCCGCCTTCCGCTTTCCATCATCGGGGGACTAGGCGTAGGCTTGGGTTCCACCCTTATATTGTGGATGTTCCAAAGATTCGCACAAAGCGCTACGCTTCCACATTCATATGGCGAACGGCTGTGGAGTGGAATACCCTACCTGCAGACTTGTTCCCTAAACGTTATATATAACTCCTTTTCAAGGCGAGAGTGAATAAGCATTATTTAGGCGTGCATGCTCCACCGTCGACCTCATCGTCACTTTCCATCAAGTGAGATCGAGGTCTCATGAACTCTCATGATAACCAAGCGAGGATGTGTAAAAAATATGATATTAAAAACATATTGGATAAATTGAAGAAACAGTGTAAGGGAGTAACATGACGATGATGCATGCACACCTAAATAATGCCTATTCACTCTCGCCTTGAAATGGTTCAAGTTATAACGTTTAGGGAACAAGTCTGCAGGCAGGGAATTCCACTCCATAGCCATATGAATGTGGAAGCGTAATGCTTCGTGCGAATCTTTGGAACATCCACAACATAGGGGTGGAATCCAAGCCTTCGCCTAGTTCCCGTATGATGGAAAAGGGAAGGCGGGATATATCCTGTAAAATACGGATAAGCAGGCAATTTTACGGTGATGGTCAATTCTTTGCAGCTTCGCCTCTACTAATTCCGAGTCACCTTTAAGCCTCTAAGATTGTGGTGGCCAAGCGCGTGCCTATTTAATTAAAATAAATATACAATGTTTCACGCGGCGAAAAGCTTGTAGGGTTAGCAGAATAGGGCGCAACTAGCGCGAGAATTAGGTACAAAAATTTGTGCTAATATTAGGTCAACTTTTTTGATACCAGTGTAGTTTTTAATAACATACTATATGTATATAACTAAAGTGCCTATGCGTACTTAAATTGTTTATTAATTCAGCTTTCACTAGAGCACCCAGTCTCAGGATGTCAAAAAGCCCACCGACCCTATCCGAAAAGATAACTAGGAAAAACTAGGTTCAACTTTTGCTAGTTTAAATTGTTTGCGATTAATAATAATAATTATTCTTATTCACCAAGTCACATCTCGCAACGTTTAGCATGTCAAGGTACAATCTTTGGATCTTTTAAAACACTCCATAACTTAACCTATAATTATATGTCAAGGAAATCTACTTACAATTTATATATTTATATATAAAAACATCCTTAGTCAAACAAAAAAACCTTTTCAATTTAAAGAAGAAGTACATGTATATATCAATTCTGTCTGTCACTTAATTTTGGGAATCAAAATCAACAAATCAATTAATTGTATAAAGCGGATTTTTTATTAACAACGACTTGATAGTCTTGATAAATTCTGTATCTGGTAATTCAGTTACCGATATCAGCAGCTTAGTATATAATTTTAATTTGAGACCGCATTCCTGTTTTTATGCTTTCGTCAGTCTAACCTTTGGTATCACTGGTTTGTCTCTGTTTCTGGTGTTACGTCTCTCAATCGCTTCAGATTATGTTTCTCTTTGTGAACTTCTTTTAGGCAATTATAAACAAATAAAGATATTACAGTCATAATGTTTAGTTCCATTTAAAATTTTTTTGCGAATTTTCTTTTATGGATATTTATTAACTTTAGTTAATTATAATTATTAATACAAAGATCGGAACGAACCAACGGACCTCACGAATTTTTCTATGTGCTTGGGTCGTGTCTTTGTATTTGGTTTTTCAACGACTTTTTAGTCGTAGCGCCATCTATGAGAAATCTATGAAAGATTTATCACCCAGTTAGTACCTTTACACTGTGCTTAGTTCGTATAGCGTCTGGTACGGTAAGCTAGAAGACGTCGGTTTGAATCCGGCCGGATCGAAGGAATTTTTACTGAGTGTTCGATCTTTGTATTAATAATTATAACAAACTTGTGAAGTATATTCACAATAAAGAATTGAATATCAATTCAATAAAAAATTAAAATACATATGAATAGTTAGCGTGACGATTGGAATCTAGACTCATGTTGTCTTTCCATACATCTCTATCTAAGACATACTCTCACCTTCATTACCCTTTACGGTTTTGACGACCACAGGTCAAGAAACCCTGGACTAGAGCTTTCAGTCTCGCATTTCCGGTTCCCGAAAAACCAAAATCTAGACTCGATGAAAATCGTAACTTTCGAGACTTTGCAAAGTAGGTTTTCTTATTTATAGGCTAAGCATTTAGGCAACCAAAACAATGTCTAGCTAGCCTCCGATGAAACAGTGACTTGAATGTATGAATTTTAGTTACATTTGTAAATTTACAGAAAATTAATTCAAGGT